CATTTCGAATAGTCAATGCAGTATCCCCAATTTAGGGTTTGTAAATGAACAACCATGGTTTGGGGGTAATGACTCATGACGTGTAAATCAAGTAAACACGTTTCACAGTCAGTGGATGATTCGTAGTACTTTTCAAAGGCACCAAGCCCAAATCAGAGAATATGGGAAGTACCACACTTATCCACACTTAGCATTGTGTATGATTGTAGTGAAGCCAGATACTATAAATTGTACCCTCCAGTAAACTAACATAGCTATGGAAAATGGCTCGTTTACAGGGGATTTTCGATAGTTATGTTAGTTTACCAGATGGTAGTTTCATTTTCAGAAATTCTCCTGAGTAGGGGCGCATTTTTTGGTGAACGATGTTCTGTTTGAAAAAAACACCGATTTCCCAAAATTCCCTGGTGGTTGGTTCTATAGCCTGTGGGTTGTAGTGGTTGGTTTCATTTGGAATTGTGAGAATACATAGAATCTACTCTAGACACGATTACCTATGAGTATCCTATGAGTATCCTATGTGTTTGAATCATGAATCAATCAGCAATGTCCGGCTTCGTCTTGGAATCACAAGACTGATGTGCTTATCACTTTTTTCATCTACCATTTGGTCAACGTGGCCATGGCTAGCCCTTTATGGCAGATTTCCCATGGGATTTCAAAGGTTGCAGAGGCCAACAAGCTCCAGCCCTACCAATGAGGCCCTTGGTCCTGGAAGGGCGGCTCACCTTTCTGCACGCGGCGCGCTCATTTTCCAATGGACGATGTTGTGGATGGCTGAGAAGTCCTGAAGTTGATAGCTTTGAATCATGTTTTTTCCCATTTTTCATAGGCTTTCAACATCAAAGGTGGTGCTGCATTTCTTCCATAGTTTGGTGAAGATATGTTTTTTTTTCTTGCCTAATATGATATGATATATACCCTTTGGTAAACTAACATAGCTATTGAACATTGCCATTTATAGTGGATTTATCCATTAAAAATGGTGATTTTCCATAGTTACGTTAGTTTACCAGAGGGTACGGGTTTGTCTGAACATGGTAGATTTATACCTGCAAATAAGAATTTTGAATAGATAGAATGGTGATGAACCAGTCATTTTGGTGTACTCTATTTTCAGACATACGCATATGTATAATTATATCTCATATATACACAACCTCTGGTAATCAAACATGGCATTTGAAACATCCTTTGTAAATGTAGTTTCAACAACAGTAATGTGCAAATAATCTAAATTGAATGGATATATACTTTTCTAGTGAGCCATAGCGTTGCTGCATCAGCAAGCCTAAACCACTCAACGAAAATGGTGAACTTCCGTCTCACATTTGTTGGTAACGATCCCTCCAACCAACATGATGACGTCAGAAAGGGATTATATAGAAAACTATAGAGACGAGGAAAATCAGGATAAATTCTGACAGAACATATGCCTGGTTGGTGGTTTGGAACATGAATTTTATTTTTCCATATCTCGGGAAGTTCATCATCCCAACTGACTCATATTTTTCCGGAGGGGTAGGTATACCACCAACCAGTTTATACTACTTTCCTCTAAGAGTGGCTATTCTCAGGGTCAAACTGTTGATTTGGGGGATGGTATGTCCGAAGCCACACCGCCATCAGGCCCATCAGGGTCTGGGCTTTATATTCCCAATTTCAGGATAGTCACAGCCTGTTAACCGCTTAAGAAATTGTTGATTTTTAAAGATGCATTGATTTGACGCTATTATATGCATCAAAAATCAACATTTCCCATTATACATTGATGGTTGATACTGTATCCTATTATTGATGCTCAATATCGCATATATATAATATATATATATATACATATGATACATAACATCTCATTATATCAATATCAATGGCCACGCATGTTCACCTGCGGTCACCATAACTTAAAATGTGCATCCCACGAATCCCGGGATGCACTTCCAAGTTTTCTATGGCTGAATGTGGGTAATATTAATGGGGGTTTCCTAAAATAGGGGTACCACCAGATCATCCATTTTAGATTGGGATTTTCCATGAAATAAACCATCCAGCGAGCTTGGGAATTCCCCATTTATGGAAACCCCCATGTGATGTGGTAGTATAGACTTCATTGAACTATAGAATCCCCTTCCCCAAATATACAGAGAAACCTCATGTCCCAAGACACGCGAGACATCTAATGTTGTTATTTCTTGGCGAATGTTGGCTATTAATCCCTTGTTAAAAAAAAGGATGCTACATAGGATGGATGGGATTATAGCAATCATACTATAGTTTATATACTATAGAATTATAGTTGTTTACCATAATAGCTATAGTATGATATATCATATCATATGGTTATAGAATTTTGTATTCATAGCATATTCTATAACCATAAAATGATTCTAATTGTCAACCAACAGAGGATCCATTCAACATTTTGTTGCTTGAATTCCAATGTTTGATCATGCTTCTGATCTATTGTTCATGAACCACAATTATAGTTTCCACTATGCAGCAATGTAATATATAATGGTACACAATGTATTATTGCAATAGATAACCATATATACATATCCATAAAGAATCATACGTGCCCAGAAAGAGCCATTAAACGCAATAGATAACGATTAAACATAAACATATCAATAATAATATAAATCACCATAAACCAATAATCATCTACGTGATCATATAAATCATCATATAAATAATCATATAAGATACAGAACCATAAATCACCATGTACATAACCATAAATCACCATAAATCACCAGAAACTACCATAAAATAATAATGAATTATTACAACATGACCACAAAAAATGCCATGTAAACATTCACCCCAAAGAGATATATATATATGTACACAATATATAGATATATTATGTATATCGATATATATCACTGCGCCCTTTCTGCCGCCTCGTAGGCCATTGCTGGTGTGGGGAAAGGTGGCTCTCGCAGCACGATCTTCGCCTTCGAGGAACGGCCTGTCTTGGGGCCCAGGTCCCGGCTGTCCGGGAGGGTCAAAACCATGGGCTTTTTCAAGGAAGATATGGGAAAACAAAGCATTATATATATATATAATGTGCATGGTTTTGGATATATATATATATATATGTATATGTGTTCATTTAAGGGTGAGATAGGGAAAAAAACACTGGTGATAGATGGTTATGGTTATGGTTTATGTACAATATCATCATTATAGTAATGTACTATATGAGGGCAATTGTCCCTTAAACCACAAAAAATATGGTAAGATGACATGATAGTATCATATTACCACATAAATAGACCATTGACCAGGGGATTTGATCTGCAGCTGGTTTTGAGCCACAAGAAATGTGGGAACTTGGCGTTGAACCAACAAAACGGGTATGGGCCGAGCCAGACATGATCCCGCCATCATGTTGATGGCGCTCAACACAGAGTTTACACACCGAGTTCATCCGAAAGTCATGGTTTCCATTGGACATGACCCTGATGGAAACCATCACTTTATATGATTAACCATATATGATGACCCTGATGGATTTTTTTTTTGATTTGATCAAGTCACGTGGGTCTGTTGATCTTGGAAAGTCCTAGCTGAGGAACAAAGCAATGCGCAGCCATGGGTTGAAGATTTCGGTGGCAAAGCCGAGTCAGTTCGTCGGAGAACCAAGTGAGACGTGCCCAACAATAGTGGGCACATTTAACCCACCCATTTCATACCTTTTTTTTTGGGGGGGTTAAACCAAAAAATTCACCACCATTTCATTTGCAAGCAAAACCATGTAAGACCATGTCAGACCATGACTGGTTGGTGGTTTGGAACATGGCTTTTATTTTTTTTCCACAATATATATATATATATATGGGATGTCATCCTTCCCATTGACGAACTCATATTTTTCAATATGTTTTTTTAACCACCAACCAGATGACAACAGCAGCATTATCCAATCGAATATGATCATCTTTTCCAGATATTCATGGATATAAACCATGATAAGAACAGTTAAGCCATATTTTCATGGGATGGTTATAAACTTATGATAAGCTTTTCATGAAGATAGCCATATTAACTGGATATTCATGGGATATAAACGACCTTAACTCGTTTTCACCCAGTTAAGCCATGAACATGTCGTGGTTTTGGGATGGTTCACCTTCAGGGACGGTGGAGTGCGCCGATCTGCTGCGGGTCTTCGGATACGCCGTGCGAGAACCTGGCGAAACTGCGAGAGTTTCGTGGTGCTTAAGATGATTAGTTGGAGGATTAAATACTAACATATACTAACCAACATAGTGATTCAATGGGATATTAATAGAAAATGGCCCTCGAAATAGTGGATTTACCCATTAAAAGTGGTGATTTTCCATAGTTATGTGAATGTTTACCAGAGGGTATACTAACCAACATAAACTCATCATCAATATATTCTTGGGGAATGTAAAAAAAAGTTCGCTGCTAAACTTCTAAAAACATTCTAAAACTCATTACAATTAGAAATTACGGCAACCAATATTAATTAGGAAAAAAAACAAATAGAATGGAATGACAAATGGTTTTTGAACACTGATCAAGTTCCAACATCACGGAACTATGCTCAACCGGCTGGGATTTTCAATGTATTTATTGGTTTCAACCATACTTGGGATGATTGGTTGAGATGACTCATGTACTTTTTTGGATGGGTTAAACCTACCAACAGGACCGGATTGGTTTTGTTGGGAAAATCTTCACCGGACACTGGGGTTCCTCTAAATTTTGCCTTTCAACCAAGTTTGGGAAAATGGAACACGTGTGCCATGATCAACATTTTTTTTTGTTCGGAAGGATTTATATACCCATTGCAAGGATTCCCATTATGGAATGGATGACCGTGAATCATAGACCATGTTGTTTGACATTAGCAGATGTTTTTTTCCAGCACACATTTGGGTTTAACTCGGTTGTTGCCATAAATGGTCAAGATGCTACAGTAATGATTGGGGATACATGGGGTAAGCGAATTATGGGGTCTATTGCATAGAATTGTGGTTTATTACGGTTGAAACATTTTTTTGGGGAGGACATGATTGATATCCTGGGTAAACGGAAACCTAATGGAACAATTTTAACATGATTTAACCACAGAACACTGGGTACATAGCTGCGATGAATCAACCGACACGGGGATAAACCCAACCATTGTATGCATGGGGACCATCAAATATTATTTGGGAGATGGGGAAACGGACTGGTGAAAGGTACGATTAAGTACGTTATAGGTATGTTCCTATTTTGATATCTAAGATTGGCCATATATCAAGTTGGTTGGTTCCGCTGGTGATTATGCCTGAAAGTGTAGACAAAAGCGAAATGATGTTTGAAATACCCTCTGGTAAACTAACATAGCTATTGAAAATTGCCATAGAAATAGTGGATTTACCCATTAAAAATGGTGATTTTCCATAGTTACGTTAGTTTACCAGAGGGTAATGTGTTTTCGGTTTGATGTGAATTCCGCAGAGTTCGGAATTCTATTCATCATCGGAGTTGTGGGTCACTATCCGATCCCTATCTTATGGGAACTTCGCCACCGAAGAGACATTACCGGTTCACCAGTGGTGTCCTAAAATGGGGGCCCCAAACTGGTCATTTTATTTATTTTTGATCATAATCCCGTTCAGATTAAACACCCCCTTTCCATGGAGGGTGTTGAATATTGAGAGTGGTACCCTGTGAGGGCACCATTTTTACTGTGTTTTGCCCTGGTGGGGTACCTCTCTGTGAATATTAGAAGGAAGGGATTGCTTGGGACCTTCCAATGCACGCACACGCATACTTGTGATCAGATCGGTGCTCTTATGGTGCAACGCTTCAGTATTTTGGGTCGTAGGTGAGCCATGGTGCGCACAGTGTGCCAAGTAGTTGCAGTTGGTGTGTCACACACAGCTTCACTGGTTGGTGGTTTCAAACATTTTTTATTTTCCATAATATATGGGATAATCCTTCCCATTGACTTTCATATTTTTCAAGATGTTTTTAAACCACCAACCAGTTCAGCGTTTCAGGCTGATTGCATTCCATATGATCCATTTTCATTGAAATTCTCTGATAAGTTGGCCAAATACGGGGCCCCAAAATAGCTAATTACCCATCCTACCATGACTGTGTTTGGCCCAGTTTTTTTGTTGGGGAGCCTTGAATAATGCGAAGGTCTACATGAAGATCGATGTCGAGTCGAGTACCATCGATTGCTTGGAGTCCTTAGCGGAATCCCAAAGTGAAGGCATGACAGGGCAGCTGGGGGCCGAGGGGCTGGGGTGGCTGAGAGGATCGCTTGTGATAAGGACGTGAGAAGCAGGAGAAAACGGTATTGGAAGAGCAAAAACACCTGGTGACTGGTAAAAGTTTGCCATTAATTCACCCAAAAATTGATTGTTTGCAGTATTTGGTACCCGATTTCAGACCCCATCTTCTTTGGGCCATTCTTGTTTGCGAACTCCCCATTCTGGTGTTGCTGACTCAATCCATTTTTACAGGCCGTTGAATTCCGAGCTGTGCTTTTTGTTGCTGAAATCACCAGTGCATTTTCCATCGTTGATCATGTACCATCTGGTAATTTCAGATAGCTATAGACAATCATATTTAATGGGCAAATCATCTACAACTTCACCATTTTCCATTCAGCCCGTTGAATGAATTACAAGATATTACAAGTCTAAGTATATATAGTTGGTTATACATCCCATTATATAAATATTCTTATTAATATCCCTTTAGGTCACCATAGGTTCCATAGTGAAATGGCCATGTATTTTTTTCGACTTTCAGGCAATCGCAGTCCGGTGCCCTTGCCCAAGTTTTTATCCATGGAGTTGGAGGTGCAAGGATACATCCGACTGGTGAAGGGTATTATTTTGATGGGGAACCAGCTAAGATGATAAATAGTTATCATGCAGCCAGGTCAGATAATCGTGATCTAAGATGATCTAAGTAATCTTACTGATACTATGGTTTGCTAGTTTTTTGCACTAGGTCAGATGATGATCATCTTTAATCTTACTGATACTATGGTTTGCTAGTTTTTTGCACTGTAACTATCTGTAACTAAGATAAGCCAATATACGCCATATTAGCTTCAGGCTTGGGATTGGCTGTGCACTGTTTTAAAGAAAGGATCGGAGCCCCTTTTGATTTTCGCATGCAAAGACACCCCTGTGGTGATCTTATGCCCTTTGGGATTTCAGCATCAATGGCTGGCACCACAACCAGGCGGCCTCCCTGTTCGAGCGATTCTATGAGAACCTACAAAGGATGGGTTTGGGAGCTCAGTTTGCGCCTGAGGGATGAACGGCCGTGGGATAAAGCCACCCACATGGGTCACATGATGCCAGTTAGGAATAGTTTACGCGTGATACCAATGTATGTCCATGTTTTTTTTCCCACTTTTACGAGGGTTCCCAGCTCACCCCACTTTGGAGACTTGTTTTCTGACATCCAAACATCAACTGCATAGTAAGTGGCATGGTTATTCAATGTTATTCAACTAATTTCAAGCGTCAAGTATGTAATGTCTTGAATTTTGCTCTTAGGACCGTTGCCGCATGAAGAGTGTCAGCAGCAGCCGAGTCTGGCAGGTCGCCAGTGAGGATCCCATCAGGGATCACCAAAACTTTCCACAAATCACTGAACAAAACAGCAATCGTCCAATCATGCTTGGACACCCCAAAACCCATGGTTTATCATCATTTGACCCTAGCGAATCATTTAAACCTGCATTATCCTTCTTCACATGGAAATTTCACAATCACCAGAGACTGAAATAGAAACATGAATATCTTATTCATAAATCACATTTCAGAAATCATCCAACACCTCACCATGTCAGAATTCATATCATGAAGAAGTCACCTTTTTTTGTAAATCACCAGCCTGGATCTCGAGGTTATCTCTTCTACAAGGCCTGTCGTCAGCTTGGACCTCAGGAGGATGCATCGCATTATTTTTTTTGGGGGATGTTTTACCCAACATTAATTGAGACAATGCCATATATCACATATATGTATACTGTATACATATATATATATGTATATATATATGATTATGATGATGATGATGATGATGATGATATGCTTACAAAATGAATGTGGCTATTGTTTTCTTAGTTGTGGATTTTACCATCCTACTGTAAAGTTTTACATTGTATATATCTACCCAAGCATACGACAGAGGTATATTACTGACCATGGTCACTCTCCACTCTGTGCCCTGAAAAGATGGCTTACTCTCCCACAAAAGGGGGTGGTCATGCCTGGATGAATTGGGCTTAGTTTGACAAAAAGAGATGCATCCGTTTTAGAGCATGGTGGGAGGACGCCCATATATATATATAGATAGCTTACTACGTTGTAGATTATCATCAGATGTAACTTAACCCTGGCGCACATGTTCAATCATAGATTTTAATTATCATTTAATGTACCAACCACAATTCGCCACAGATGAAATAGCAGGAATTCTTCAATCAAAAGACATGCTTGGAAATTGGTCACCATTTTGATCCATTTTTGGGGTGTCAATATGTTTGACTCATACCTATTTTCACTTTCTGTTTAGCCTTGAAGGCTGTACTAAGCTCACAGCTCTAAACAAGTCAAGATGTTGAGAAATACCCAAGTAGAATCAAGTAGACATATATTGCAAACATGATGGATGGTAAACGGAGATCATGAACACTGACTTCACACTCCGGACATATTCCTGAATTTGATCCAGAATCATCAAACTGGATGAATTATAACGATTCCACTGTGTCACTGGAATGATGCTTAGCAGGGCTTCAGGTTGGTGACTTGTCATAAATCATGCAGATGCAGTCATGGCCATTGTAGATCTCCATGATTCCCATGAAATCCCCATGAAAGATCCATTGAAATTTCACTCCCCGCATGTTATCTAGATGGCAATTTGAGGATATTCCCAGGATATTCCCAGGATATCCCACATGTTACCCTCTGGTAAACTTTCACATAACTATGGAAAATCACCATGTTTAATGGGTAAATCAACGATTTCTATGGCCATTTTCCATAGCTATGTTAGTTTACCAGAGGGTATCCCACATGTTGTCCCCATCCGAGTTTTCTCAGCGCCGCTGAGGTACATCTACTCCCCCGCCCCCTGCGAGCAGGGCCGATACAGCCGGGAGGCGGGTCAATGGTGAGTTTTCCTACGAAAAAATGGTGGGTTTACCTCTTCGAAATGGTGATTATGCCTAGAACAAAATGGTGATTGGGACTCTCTGGTCATTTAACAGTTCGCTGTTGAACATGGTTGAGTTACCGTTGAAATACTGGCAATTTTCCAGTTCGCAAACTGTTAGAGGGCAATCCCATCCCATAGTTCATATTGGTATTGGTTCATGGGAATATCCTGCGAATATCATGGGATTCGACTAGCACATGTTGAAATATTGTGGTGATATACTCTAGGTCAATCTTAGATGGGTAGTTTAATCCTTTAGTCTTTTATAGTCTTTTGCTATCGGGATGATCTACTCACCAGATAAGAATTCGTCATTTTTAGCAGGGTATCATACAGATTGGCCATGTACTTTTAATGGAATCTGGAGGAACTGGAATGACCTCACATTTTTAGTGAAGTTCGGAATGATTTTTGCGATTTGGAGTTGGGGAATCCCCAAATGGCCGTAAAATGTTCAGCCAGAAGAATGAATTATTACTAATAGGATTGAGGATTGATTGGGGAATCATCCCCACATGTATTTTGAGGTTGGTGAATTGTTATGATGCCAGATGAATACATCAACATGGCGCAGGCTCGAAATTTCCCAGCTATAGTTCGATAATTTTCCCATGAACAAACCTCCATGATGTATAAGAGATTTCCCATTGCCATGTTTGATTATCTACTGAGGGGTAATATTGAAGGCTAAAGGACATGTTGCATGAAATATTTGAATACCACACCATTTTAAATTATAGTGGCTTTATATTCCCAATTTCAGGATAGTCAAAGCGTGTTAACCGCAATTTTGTTTTTTAAGATGCATTTATTTAACACTATTATAATATGATATTATATGCATCTACAAAAATCAACATTTCCCATTATACATTGATGGTTGCTCTATCCCATTATCGATGCTCAATATCCCATATATATATATGATACATCACATCTCATTATATCAATACCAATGGCCAATATTCTCAATTGTGGGATAGTGAGTTCCAATTATAGCATCTATATGATATCAATATATGTATATATATATATACATATCTGGTTGGTGGTTTGGAGCATGAATTTTATTTTTTTCCATATACTGTATTGGGAAGTTCATAATCAACTGACGAACTCCATCATTTTTCAGAGGGGTAGGGCTCAACCACCAACCAGATATGTATCAAAAACAAGAGCTCAGCATTTACATCTCGATTTTTTTCAAGACATGACCTCCCTATGATACCCTCTGGTTATTTAACATAGCCATGGAAAATCACCATTTTAAAGAACGGTAAACCCAGGTAAACCATCTATTTCGATTAGGGCCATCGAAAAACCCTGGCAAACTGTTAGTCAAAACCAGAGGGTATCCTCTGGTAATTTAACATAGCTATTGAAAATGACAATTTATAGTGGATTTTCCCATTAAAAATGGTGATTTTCCATAGTTATGTTAAATTACCAGGCCGGGTATCCCATGGTGGGGCCTATTGAAGTCCCCATTTCTCCAGGGGTTCACCAAGGTGCCCGGCTGCGGCAGTGGCCCCTTCGGTACTGCCGCGGTGGACTACCAACAGGGCCTCAGGTGGGATCACCGGAAATAAAATAACAACTTAAGGTGAGTATAGGTTGAGTCACATCTGAAAAAAAACAATCCAACCGTTGCTTGGAAATCACCAAAACCCCTAAATCCTCCGCCAGTTTCTTACCTGGCTTAAATCCATGTGTTCCTGTGTTTTGGGGTGTCGAATCCCCATGTTGGTAAAATCTCCGTGTCAGTGGATTAGTATGGCTTAGCATGGATTACCCTCTGGTAATGACTCTTACATATTGAAAATGGCCATTGAAAAAGTGAATTTACCCATTGATAGCATGGTGGATCTTTCCATAGTTATGTGAAAGTTTACCAGAGGGTACATTGCAATCCTTTCTTTTTGAGGATGAACATCTGCACGTGCGCTATTTTAGGGTGAACAACAGGGTAATTTGATAGGTGAAATACAATCGCATGTTTACGGACCCCGTGGCCTTCCCTATAGGGGTGTTTCCACACTGAGATGCGCATCCGAGTTGGAACTTGGTCAGGCACTATGAATAACTGGTTGGTGGTTTGGAACATGGCTTTTATTTTTCCATATATTGGGAATAATACTCCCAACTGACTAATATTTTTCAGAGGGGTTGAAACCACCAACCATGCAGATAATATGAACTTTGCCGAAAAACGAAAAAAACGAATTTGCAACTTTAATGGCAAACATGACGACAAACTCTGGGATTTTTGTGCGCGCTCGATTTTCGGAGAAACACGCAAATAGGATCAAGTAGGATCAAATAGGAATGTCCTAATCACTTACCAAGATTCTGATTGGATATATATCATATATCGATCTATATCCTCATCCCCACATGTTGTGCTCTGTTATCCACATCGGCCAGGTGGAAGGGGCTCTCCGAGCTCCCCTCAGACCGTCGATGGGTTGAGGAGTTCGAAAGTGGCCTTGATTGGCCCGGGCACCTGGAGTCGTGCTGAGATGTGGCTAACAGCGGCTAACAGAACCTCCGCCATAGTTGCACTGTGTATATGCAAAGGATCAGAAAATATGGTATAGTAATGTATATAGTTAATCCTATCCACTGAAAACGAGAGTTGTAGGTAAAACATGGTAAAACGTTACTTCTTTTTTATGAGGTTTCGGGCTGGTTATATCCATATATATATAATATATATATATATAATTCTAATATTGAATACAAAACGCAAAGCAGTTGGGTAAGCGATTGCTAGTCCCTTGAGCCACCAGCCACGATCAGCCACCAGGTTTGATTTACACGCAATGCGAGTCGCCTGAGCGCGGTAGAAAGAAAGGATGCCAATCTGACTGGGCAGATGGGGGTGGTGGAGATGATACCCTCTGGTTATGTCAAAATAGCTATTGAAAATGGCCATTTATAGTGGATTTACCCATTGGAAATGGTGATTTTCCATAGTTATGTTACTTTACCAGAGGGTATACAAAATGTCATTTCCTATGAACTTCTGAAATTCCTCTTAAAACTTACCATGGACACGAAGAAACTGGAAGTTGACATGATTCAAGACTTTGGTGTAGCTGACCATTCTTACCTTTTTACCAGTGTTCCTGTCAGGTGCCTATGGCTACTATAAAGCAGGAAGTTTGTGTGGGCACCCAGCCTTAGCGCTGTCAACAGACCGCGTATCCCATGGTCTCCCTATGAATTGAGGAACCAGGAGCTGAGCTACCAGTTTTCCAACCACATGAGAGCGACTCAAACATGGACAATATGGGTTTGTAACATGTTTTTTTGAGGGAAAATCCCATTGCATCAACGCAAATTGTCTTCTGGAAATGAAACATTGCAATTGACAATCCTATATAAATCAGGGTTTTAATGGGAATAACGTCGAACCGAATGGGAATTTGCTACTGTAGCAAACCATGTTTGATTACCAGAGGGTAAAATGATTGAGTCATCCAACCATTTTCTGACTGTAGTCATCTGTAGTCCTTCGGAATCTGACCCGGCTCTGTGTATCCCTCATTTGTAGATCTTTGTCGATGATTTTCGGGATTTGCCAGGTTACCCTCTGGTAAACATACAATAAACCTATTGAAAATCACCATTTTTCATGGGTAAATCCACTATAAATCACCATGTTCAATGGGTAAATCCACTATTTCAATGGCCATTTTCCATGTCGCTAAACTGTCTGTTTACCAGGCCGGGTAGCTAACGGTGAGTGGAAACCGGCTCAAGATGGGTATCCCATGGTGGTGGATCTTTCCATGGCGAAGTGTTAAATCACCAGATGGTAAGCTATATATGGCTATGGATCAATACCTATGAAAATACCATTTTTAGTGGGAATGAACATCCATAAATCCCAGCTATCTTGATGTGAACTACAGGGGTACAAGGTTTTGACACACTGCCATATATGTGATTATAGTGTAAATTATATGGAAAATCACCAGATTATAACATAACTATGTGTTACTAATTTTCCATGTGTAAATCACCAGATGGTAAGTCTAAACAAAAACATCCATTTCGTTATTTGGTTGACAATATGAATCAGGATATGAGCTAACACCAAAAAGGTCTATGTAGGGGGTATGTATTGGAATGGAATATAGGTCAAAACCTGCAAAAGCGAAGGCGACCTTTTCTAACGAAGGCAAACCTTACAACTAAAGTTTGTTGATAGATTTTCATGTGAGCAGCGAACGTCAAGAATGGTGTATCATGGAGTTATTGTTTGGTCTTTACCCGTTTTCCCTTGTCTTCCTTTTATTTGTGAAGGTCTGGTCGAAACCCTTGTAAAACGAAGGCGACTTTTTGTAACGAAGGAAACATAGATATTCCATTTTGGGGCAATAGAGTTTTGGAGGTAGCTCATATGTTATATATATATATTATATGTCCACACCAATTGTTATATTATATATATATGATATATATATATATATATATCCACACTAGTTGTTCTTGGTTAAAGCCCCCAAAAGATATTGCTTCGCCCGTTGGGTGCCCAAAAAGAGGCCCTCTCTACTGGGCGGCGGCTCCTGTGGCGCTTTGATGGTGCGGTTTTTCGGGTTCCAAACAGAACGAAGCGAACGCAAGTTGTAAAGGGGGGATGGAATAAATGAGCGGATAGTAAGGGATTACATGGGGATTATATGGGGAGTATGAACATTTAAAGTATTGAAAGAATTGGAACTATAACCCCCTATTTCAAGAGCTAACTTGTAAGGGATTATGACAAATGGCTATGAGTCAGTTCACCAAACGGGACCCGGATGGCATCCAGATCGTCATAGCTGGTTAATGGATGTTTATTCCCGCAAAATATGATACCCTCCGGTAAACATACAAAAAAACTATGGAAAATCACCATCTTTAATGGGTAAATCAACTATAAATGGGCCATTTTCCATAGCAAACTGTTAGTCATTACCAGAGGGTAATGATAGGTTTTTGAACCATCCCCATAGGCTTATACTTACAATGCGGATTATACTTATCACATCTGATCAAGATGTTGTTTAAGAAATGAAGAATAAAAAAGTGACATCACCCAAGCTAACATGTTCAAAACCCTGGTTTGTTGATGATACTTACCAATATATCAGGGATTATACTTACCAATATATCCGGATTATATTGGATATTGGATATTGGTAAGTATCAACCAATCACCACATTTTTGATGATGATTTGGGGAATTATACTTACCTATATATATATATTTACATATATATATATATATATATATCAGGGATGATGAAAATCCATTGAGGGAATCCCATGCTCAAATGGATTGGTGAAGGTATCGCAGTTGAGTTGACCAAACTCTGAACTCTACATGGATTTTAGCTGGAAACCACTCCTGGATAGTGTTTCTTGAGTTGCAACCACAACGTCTAGTTTTAAGCCTTAAAAAACGCCTAAAAACTGCCCCAAAAAAACATCCCAAAAGATATGTTGATATCACCAACAACCATATCTATATAGTCAACTTACAGCGGCTGGTAAATAAACGTATATATTCCATGACTTGCGGATTTAGAACATCGCGCCAAGGTGATTGTTAGTGATTTTGACCTTGTTGGTAGTGATTTCCCTGCTTGGCCAGATGGTTACCCTCTGGTAATTTAACATAGCTATTGAAAATCACCATTTTCAATGGGAAAATCCACTATAGATGGCCATTTTCAATAGCTACGTTAAATTACCAGAGGGTAGCCCGGAAACTCGCCGCCAGTTTGCGAGTGGTTTCATGGTCGAGAAGGATCCGCAGGCCGCTTGGTTTTTTGTGCCTCTCTAAAGCTTGGGATCAAGTCGGATCAAGAGCTTGTTGGCCCCCAAATGGCAAATGTTTTACAGGGAACATGAACATGATACCCTCTGGTAAACTAACATAATGGAAAATCACGACTTTTAATAGGTAAATCAACTAAAACTGGGCCATTTTCCATAGCAAACTGTTAAATTACCAGAGGGTAAGCGTTTTTATTTTGGGGGAGCCATTGGAAGGGCCGAAAAAACACGGCATTTTTGTTCAAGTTTCGGAACTGGAGAATGTCCCACAATTTGATTGCATCAGCGGCCCAAAGAAATAGCAACTTTGATAAAAATAGCAGTTGACACTTCTGGGGATAGCTTGCCTGTGCCCATCCAACCATTTTTTTACATATTTTTACTTTATTATCCATATTATATATATATATATTAAATACAATATATTATTAAATTTAGCAATCTTTAGCTTAATCAAAGAGTATGTTTCTAAATGTTGAATTTCTAAACTCAAGGTGCACCAACTTCCTGATTTCTTTTGATATGTAAATGAACATCGCTATGAAGCCTTGAACATTCGATTTGAATTCCTCGCTGATTTCGAGTGTGCCGCCCAGTGCGCCTTCATTCTGGGCTCCGCCACCAGTGGTGTCCTAACAGCTGACAGCTCAGGGGACCCCAACAATTGGCAAGTTTAGAGGGAACATGATGATGATATATATATATAATATAATATAATATAATATAATATAATATAATATAATATAATATATATATATATGATGATGGTAATTTTTATCATCAGACAAAGCAGCATATATATTCAGCATTAGCCAAAAGGTTCGCAACAGGGGATTCCTAGAAGATCTCACATGAATGATTAGATTAACTGCCAGTTTATAGCAATTTCAATAATGAACATGATGATAAACCGTGTGATTTGGGTCTGCCTATTTTCAGACACACCCACATAATCCCACATATATATATATATTATATATATAGTATACAATATACCCAGTTATACTGGGATAGAACCCAGTGACGAAGCAGCAAACTCTATGGCCCATCTAAATCTAAGCAATGTTTCCCCACAAGATCACCACCCAGATCAGGCCAACGACGCCAACGATTTTCGAAGAGTGAGGTGTAGCAAGAAAAAACATGAAGGTTTTTCAAACATGTGAAAACAACAAGCTTATCGAAGCTCTAGTGGTATGTATTGGATGTACCATCTGGTTATTTAACAGTTCGCCATGGAAAATCAACACCATGCTACTAAGAACGGTAAACCATCTATTTCGATTAGGGCCATCTATGCCATGGCAAACTGTTAAATAACCAGAGGGTAATCATTTTTTGGGTCTTCAGGGAAAGTTTTTTTTCAGGTCAAGCCTGGATTCACACACCCTTGATCAAAAATTGATCAAGCTTCGGATCACCCCTGGCCGCATGGCTTCATGGTTTCAGGTGATTTTTTAGGTGATGTCTCGGATGACATACAGTATAGATTACCCAGAAATGGCCCAGAAACCATATGGATGGGTGTAATTTCTTGTCATGTTTGATCGTATATGTCTGTATTACATGGGATGATTTTGGATCTGTGTCCATCATGATAAGTTGTTTTTGGGTTTTTGGCAATGCTGGGGGGTTGAACGTTGAACACTTCGAGTTTTGCAACGATGTGTGTTGTTATAGACTTTAGAACTTATTTTGATACTGGTTGGTGGTTTTAATCATTTTTTATTTTCCATAATATATAGCCGTTCATGGTTGAAGGGCACCTCCCAGCGGGTGCGGCTGGAATCGACCAATAGCCCTTTTCCCTGTTGTTCCTCCACCGGTTTGCCATGGATCTTCTTTCTGGTGATTTGACGGAGGTGATGATAGGACAAAGTGTTGGTGAAAATACATGGAAGTGCTCTTTGACGTCAGGAGCGCATGCGGTTGTACATGTACCTGATGAATGGACCAAATTCATTCAAGGGGTGCCTTCAATGACTTTGATGGATTTCGAAGTTGCATGGCATGAGGATTCTTTG